TCATGATGTACGCTGGGGTGGTGATATCGGTGTACAACCGAATTACCGCAGATGGGAAATATTTCACTTATTTCCACGTACAAACTGCAAGGGGGTGCAGTATCATTTGATCTCATTTAGATCAAATATGCGAAGTGTGAGACCGCATGTTACCATCAATAAAATGTTGGTAAATCACAATTCTGCAACATTGGCTATGCAATATTGAATCTCTTTAATAAGAGATCAAATCAAACCATTCTGTTTATGTACCATATACTGAATATAACCATTGAATGTCCGTGCATCAACTTCAACAACATTTCCATTCCAATTTATTTATCCCACGTTAGGATAATTTTCTCTAAATTCGTCAATCTGAGCACTTAATTCAGTAAATGCATGGTTATGTGTGGATATACACACCTAAGACCATCTTCTAGATGCGTTTATGAACACCATGAAGTACCAAGATAACCCAGATAATGGTTGAGTAATCCAAACATATTCTTGCATTCAATCAAGAATATTGGCTGGCTAATTTCATATTTTAAGGTGAGAGTGCCTTAAAATTAATTCCCCAATGTCACATGTAGTGCATAAAACAATCTGATGATTGTTGGGAATATTACAACTTGTCAAGTTGTGGCCAACAGAATTGTCAATAATTTCTCTAATCATCCAATACCATGATGATAAAGGAGAAAAAATTATTATGTATGCAACAAGATTGAGTATGAACTAACTCATATACTCAATTATCTCAACTATCATGTCCGAGGGACAAGATGTTGCAATTTATACTATATGTAGTAGTACAATTATAGGCTAATGATATTTAGGGATAACTAGAAGACTACACGAGATCTCCAAAATATCTTGGGAATATCATTCCACAAGCATATCAACAATGTAGAGGAGTATTCTACTTTACCATGCGAGTATATTTTCTGGTTGTTTTCCTTTTGAAGTAGAACTTCAAACTTATCCCATTAAGAACATTTGTCTCCAGTGAGACGGTGGTATGATTCAACCCAATACTTGATCAATTGGTAATCATTAGTACGAGTTTCCGTAAAACCACCATTTTGACAAACTTGAAAGTTGTCATTATGATCATTTAAATTAAATGATCCATTCCCTTTGAGATATACACTTAATTTCTGCTTGTCTTTTTTTTCATTTTACATTCTACTCCTCGTGGTTGTCTAACCACTATTTCTTAGTACTAAGAATACTAGCATGAATTTCAGGCATTGCAACCTGAAACAAAGATGATATTTTTGTTTATCATCCCAGGAGAACGTAAAGTGCAGTAAGGACTTATAGTCAGATATGTATCTGAAACCGCCTTATCACATAATCTCAACATAGTGTTGATTTATAGACAACAGAATTATAAGGCTCAATGGACTCAAAGTCCTGACAACGAATGAATAATCATTCATGTGATGCTTATAACAATATATCTCGCCTCAATGAAGGCTCAAAGGGAAAATGGATATTCATCATCCATTACATACTCAGTTTGAGAACCGAGCCATTGCGATGGCACATAAATGCAAATATGCATATTCTTAGATAGCCATGACATTTTTCTGCAGGTGGAGTTTCTGTGGAAACAAGGCTCCAGGTCCACAAATTTTTTAATATCCATAACCCATCTTAAATAGTTACTCCCACCAAATGTCATCTCATCGCATTTCCTTTCCAAAAAGGTCAGCCATATGTTGCATGAAATTCGCATGCATTAATTTACCTTCAGTAAATTAAGTAGGATGAAAATGCTATGGCTAAGCATAATCATGGTGATGGTGATTCTTAGTGACCGATAGGGCAAACCTTCCAGAAGAACACCACAGTATGGTGTGGATCTTCCAAGTAAAGTTAGTCACTTCGAAAGGGACAAACCTTTAATTTCCTTAAAACACATAGAGGTAGTCGAACACCTAGTGGTGCCTCACTCTTATGGATAATTCACATTGATCATAGCCTGCACAACCTTATGTTATCTATAACACATGAAGGTAATCACCATAAAATGGCGTAAACCTCTCAGTTATGCATAAAGTTAATTCATAGCTATGATGACGTCTCATAAGGTGTGTATGCATGCAAGGTAATCACCACAATATGCAAGTGTTTTGCATAGTTCTCTTCATAGCATAATATGTAGTATAGTAGCCACTAATGCCTTGGAATCCTCTCCCGAGGGAGTATGTGACACTTTAGTCACAACAAATGACAAATCCTATGAAATTGACAAATATTTGGAAAAACATTATGAAGGTAGGCACCAAGGTGTAGGCCTTATAATGGCTATGTCATAAGTTTTATGCCTTCACTTTTTTTTGCTTTGAACACATGGAGATAATCACTACTAAGTAGTGTCGACCTCACTCTTATGGAGCTTCTCACAACCTTGTGTTAATTAAAAGCACATTGAAGATAGTCATCACATGGTGATGTAGACCTCACAGTTGTGAACGAAATTAATTCCGTTGCCATAATGCAGAGTTGTGTGAAAAATTGAAGGTAGTCATTATGTCGGAATGACATAATATAGACCTCACAATAACATTGGATAACTTGCAATTAAGCAGTAGGTACCATTTGTCGATTCCTTGTGACAAATGTAAATTTGACATAGTCAGGCAGTGGCATACACTTCACTACCTCATGTTTCCAAACTTGCAAGCAAATTCCATATTCTATGCGAATAATGGAATCAACATATTGCTTTGCAACAGTATTACTCATGTAATACAAATCAATGCAGAAGTATAAACATACTTGTGCAACACATATGAGGACTTGGGGCCTCAAATGGTCATTTTACATAACATAAAATTATGCATAATCACTATTATGCAATTCAGCAAGACCTGATGGTCTATCATGTATACTTGCTCTAAAGCCTGGGGCATAAAACGCAAATAACAATAACCTTACGGTTAAAGTGTTGAAAATAGAAAGCCCAATGGCTTTGATAAAGTCCAACGAGCCCGATCGCTCTACTGTAATTTTAAATAAGCCGTAGGGCTAAACCGCAAGCCTCAATAAGCTTAGGTCTCAATTTAAAAATACAGGGACTTGTTCAGGATTATCAAATAATTCAGAGGCTGATTTGCAAAATCGCCAAAGAGATAGGATTTCTCATCCTTCTCCTGTGGTCCAGTTCCCGACGAGTAGCCATAGATCGCTGTGCACATCGCCAACTCCACCATCAAACTAGCATCTTGTGCCAGATGGAATCGCTCTTCTGCGACTTTCAGCAAGTCCATGGTCTCGGCGGTCAGCGCCGGCAGGCCGAAGGCCGTCGCCGATGCAAACCGCGTCCCCGTAGAGTAGTGGAGCAGCCATGAATCGTGCGATTCCATCCATAGTGATGACGGCTGTTTTATTGGGTATGTAGCGGTCATTCGTTAATGATCCCTGATTCAGGGAAACACAGTTAGTCATAGGATCATGCTAATCACAAACAGAAAAATCAATTAGCTTTCTCCTGGATCAGTTTCTTGTGTGGATGCCTGCATGGGTATGCATGCTCGTCTTTTCGGCACAGTGCATAGCCGCCGTGATGCCATGCTTCGCATCAGGGTGCCGCGCCCGCGTCGCCTTGGCGATCCAGCCGCGCCACTGCGTTGTCAAGCAGCCGTGCACGCTGCCTCACGGCCGCAGGGGTCTCGCCTAGCGCCGGCCGTATAGGCAGCCGCCGTCTCCGTTTTCTGTGCCACGCAGTGGATCGGCCTGGCAGAGCATCGCCGTGAACCGCACGCGGCAGTCAGTCGGCTCATCGTTTGAGAGGGCCAACTGCTCTATTGGTAGAGACAATTGCTTATAACGTATTGTAATATCAAATTAAAGAAGACAAAGAAGAGACACAAATGATTCTCTTAGTCTATTGCAATGTGAGAGACCCATTTATATACAGCCTGAAGGGGTGTGTTGGGGAGACACTTCTTCCCTAACAAACACCTTCTGGGAGGCATCTCTCCCATACAATTGATCACATATTTTATTTCTTAACAGTTTTCCTCTCGGTGGACGGGTGCAGCCGTCTACCACCGCCCGGGACGGCCGTCCGACGCGCGATATTTGCCCGACGTGTGGGCGCACCGGACCACAGTATTCCAACGGCCTTGCCCTGCCTGTTCCCATACACCATGGGCGAGTTTGGTTGCCTACATCGAGCCCAATTAGGCCCGCGCGGTGCAGCATTTTTTGGACCCCAGTTGTTTGGTTGCTTACATACACTGTTTAGTCCGCATAGCACGGTTCTTAAAACACCCCTGGGCCTGCCCGTTGTGAACGGCCGAATCGGCAGTTTTCTGAGAGCCAGGCTGAGCGATGCTTCGAGGCGCAAGTGGGTGGCTCTCTGGAGACGCGTGTCTGGAGTTAATCCCTCTCTCTCTCCCTAATCCTCAATCCCCTCTCTCTCCCTCTGCTCCAATCGATCCCGTCGGTCGCGGCGCCACCCTTGTCCGCAGAGTCGTCGGCGCTGTCGATCAAGAAGCGCCGGTGTGCCCGTCGGCCACCAATGAGTGCCTCAGTCGTGTGCCTCAGTCCTGCGGCGGCCGACGTGGAGGCGGGTGGCGGCAGCCCAGGCGGCGACGACGTCAACTACGTAGCGCGCGCGGGATCTGCTCCGGCAAAAGCACTGTGGTCTCCTCGGGCTCGGTCCTCCTCGACATGCACGACATCAAGGGCCTAGACGCCAAGTGGCTGCGCGAGCAGATCGGGCTCGTCAACCAGGAAACGGCGCTGTTCGCGACGAGCATCCGGGAGAACATTCTCTACGGCAAGAGCGACGCTACCGCGGACGAGATCAACCTCGCGGCGAAGCTATCGGAGGCCATCACCTTCATCAACAACCTCCCCCAAGCGGTATGAGACGCAGGTCGGTGAGCACGCCCTGGCGTTCGCGGCAGGCGCCGCGCTGCCGCTTCTGAGCGACGGGTTCGTGCGGACGTAGGCGGGCAGGGTGGCGTCCGTGTGCCCGTCGACCGCCGGTGAGTGCCTCAGCCGCGTGCCTCGGCACCGCCCGACGGCGAACACTGGCTTCCCGGTAGTCTTCTCGTAGTGCTTGATGTACCTCTGCTCGATGTCGGCGAACGAGTTGACGACCAGCCGACCGTGGCACGCCCGATGTCGAACATGCGGTTCAAGAACTCCCGCGAGTCCGTGCCGGGGAGCGTCGCCTCGGCGAGCCTCAACCTGGTGAGCCGTACCGCGTCGTGGAGGCCCGACACGAGGAACGGCTCCATGGGCGACGCGACTCTCTCCTGCGGGGTGTGGAGGAGCAGGGACCGCTGCACGGAGAGCGTGAAGCAGCCCATGCCGATGAACGCGTACTGCGACATGCCGAGCTCGGCGACGGTGGTGGCGGCCCACGGTAGGACACCATCGAACACGACGGCGTCAGTGGGGTGGCGGCGCAGGAGGTCGGCGAAGAGCGGCGCGAGGAGGTCGATGGCGGCGGCGAACGGGCTCCGTGGGCGACGCGAGGAGCAGAGGAAGCTCCGGCGCACTCAATGTGTTCGACGAAATGAGAAGCCAAACCTGGTGGTTGTTTAGTTTTGTTGTTAACTTCTAATCATATGCATGTATGCAACCAAGCGTCAGGTGAAAATTGCATCTCGATGATAAGACCCCTAATGCAGGCAACTAATCAACTGGTTATCTCCGTTTTTGGCTCTGTTTTGGCTTATTCAGGCCCTGCTCAGCCTGGCTCGTTTTTTTCCTCTGAGCCGGGTCCGGCGGCGAAAGCAACCAAACACGCCCCATATGTACGTGAGCCTTTCACTCTTTTCTCCATCCAACTCGCTCCCTCCCATCTTCCTCCCTCTCCCGCAGCATCAAAAGCAGCAAGCAAGCAAGCGCACCACGAAGATAATCTCTGATCAGCAATTTTTCTCGAAAGCCACCTACACACACGTACCATGGCGGCATCAGCGGCCTGCTCCTTCTTCCTCGACGCCGAGCTGCTCGCCGAGCAAGGCATGTCGGCGATGGACGCGTGCGCGCTCTGCGACAAGCCGCTGGCGCGCGACAGCGACGTCTTCATGTATAGAGGGGACACGCCCTACTGCAGCGAGGAGTGCCGCCAGGAGGAGATGCAGCTCGACGCCGTCTGCGCCAGGCAGGCCGCGCGGAGGCTGCAGCGGTTCTCGGCGGAAACGGAATCCCACCGTGGGCAGCGGCAGTCCAGGAAGGTGTCGGTCGCGAGCTAACTGGCCAGCCTGAAGAACCATCGATGTCTCCGACTCTCCGACCGATGCTCTAACCTGGACCGGTGGAGGCACGAGATGCAGCTTGGCGTCGCCTGCGGAAGGCAAGGCAGGGCAGCACCATCAGGCGGCACGAAGCATGGCAAGCTAATTATGCGACGCCAAGAACCTGGATCATTGTGATTTTTCTTCTTTTGAAATGTATGTCAAACTTACCCAATTTGGGTGCAATAATTCATCACAATTCCAATTTTAAGAATCAGAACGATCTTGTCATGCCTAAGCTAAAAGTCAAACATTTTCACGGCGATTTATCTTTCTTGATGGGTTGACAATGCCTAGAACCGCTTCACATCGGATCTTGCTTCTCCATCCGACCTGGGTTGTCAGTCCCGCCTTCCTCACCCATCAGTGTGAGTGCGTGGGTGGTTTTAGCTCAAGTTTACTAAAACAAGCAAATTTTGTTAAGTTTTAAGGTTCGATTTTGTTGCTATTTTCCTCATAAACTGGATCGACTCGCTTCCTCCAATGGAAATTATAAAAATGGTTGCCCGCCAACGAGGCTCCTATAAATTAGATCTGAAGCGATGAAGTCCAACCCCGATCTACTCGCAGTTGAGTTAGTGCACTTTGAGGCATAGCAAGTGAAAGGAAATGACGAAGTTTGTCATCGCCTATTCAACTAAAACATATATCTGTACCACTCTAATATTAACTCAGTGGAAAATGAAGGCAACATTTCGGTTTAGACACCACCCACTGAAGCCAAGTTTCCATGCAGGAAAGTAATGAACACTCAACATGGCACACTTAGGTTGTCATGTCCAGATTTACCGCGGGCGTATAGTTGCGATGTGGGTATGAGATTGCCTAAGCTTTCCCAGTTGGGGATTTTAGTGGTCCGCTCTCTTGAAAATTCATACGTGAACTGTGGAGACGGATGCTCTTCTCTCCAAATTTGACTCTCGGTGGTTGGACTGTCTGCTTTGTGCTCAGAGAATTTCAGTTTGCATTGTGTGCATTGGTCAGCATTTATTTTTGTGACACCGTAGGGCAAAAACCTCACAACCTTGCAACTTCATTTAATGTAGAGCATGGAACCGTACATCATATACAACTTCATATCAGGAAAAAGGAATAAGAGCAAGAACTACAATGCAACTGACGCTTTAAGGTGGAAGGTAAGAAACTCATTTCAACAAATTATCCCTGGACCTAGACTTAATTCTATGCACCAACATGGTTGTGTCATGCACAAATCCCCTCTTCCACTTATAGAAAGCGGGCCTATCTTTTCTGAAGATTTTTTGCATTCCTAGCGATCCAGATATTCCAGCAAGATAGGAAAACCACTTCAGCAAAGAAATGTTTTTGAAGAACATGCAATATCTGCTGCCGGGTGCATATGCACTTTTGGATGAACAGTAAAATGCTAAACAATACTAATATAGATTTAAAAAATATGGTTCTTTTTACAACACACATCTAGGAATGTTCTACTCCCACGCAAATTTTCATGAAGAAATAACATTCCATGTGCACAGAACAAAAAAAAACACTAGTATGAAAAGGTGATTTTTTAAGCATTTTGGGCTGCTTGTTTTGTTTTTTACTGAAAATTCTGTGAATGTGATCTGTTCAAGAAAATTTGTACATAGGAAGAACACTCATGAATATTTGTCTATAATTTTTTTGTAATTTTTTTTTGCCACTTTTCAGAATTTACTGTTCGAACAGGCATTTGCACCTAGGACCAGAAGAGCACTTTTGTTGTCGAAATCCTTCCTAGCCTGAGTAGCAATAGTCCTCATATTATCTTCTGACTGCCAATCCACCTGCAAGTAGTTCCAGACTCTAATACTAAAATTAAATTGAAAGAACAAATGGTCTCTATCTACCCTAGAGCCAGAGCAACACATCACATAGGTAGTTGTAATTGCTCGATGTGGATCATCATTGCTCTTTTCTTTGCACGTCAAAGCATTCCATCGGCCATGTATAACTTTATTTTTACTGGTGTGGTACTTTCTATGTTCCGCTAATGCTAGTTGTGTACATTCTAGTCGTGCAGAGGTCAGGTGTGTGCTCATCGTATTTTGTATCCTATTGATACTACACGGAATACATCATTGTATACTTCCCTTGCCATAACCAAAAAAAGTGGATGTCTAGCCTATTGGGGGAATATCAGGTGCTACCACACATTAGGTGCTATCATGCTATCACTTTTCCACAAACACATTTAAATGTTTTAAATAATTCCAAAAAAATATGAGTGTTCACAAGACATGTCTCTACAAATTGTGAACATTTCAAATCAAGACTTAAAACACAAAAGAAGAAATGGAAAAAATCAGCATAAATAGTGTCACAAAAGCAAAAGTCAAAATGTCAGTATACATTTGTTTGTGTTTTGACCGTTGGATCTCACATCCACGGTTGCGCTCGCCGAGCAGCACATGAGCTTAGCAACTCCCATAGCAACAGATATTTCTCCCTAGCCTCCTTAGTGTCCCTTATACTAGTAAAATTAAATATTGTAAACTTTGTTACAACAAAACAAATTCTTGTTAACAAAATGAGATTTATCATTCCACGTGTTGTGCTTGAATTTGATTATGCCCATGCTCTAAAGGAAAGCACTGTTATTTCCATCCTTCCCGCTTTCATCTACAGAGATTACTCACACGTCACAGAAAACTATACCTTGCCAAATTTAGCAATCACATGAGAATAAAAATGAAGCAAGATTTGCAGTATGTGAGGTGAGTAAGCAAAAGGCCAGGGCAGAGAAAAATATCACTCATTCACACGTCAGATTGGCTGATATTTTATTTTATGATGGCCAAGTTTATCAAAATCACATTGTCTTCATTCAAGTTTGAAAAAATTGTTGTAAGACGACGAGGAAGGCCCCAATCGCTTGTTGAGTCTTGTGGTGCTCTGGCGCACTAATGGCCTGCAAAACAGACATGATCGTTGCGTAAAATTGGTGTAAGTATCCAATTAATTATCATTCCTAACAAGGAGAGAAGGTGAGCATTAATATGTAACTTCAATCTAACAAGACATTTCTGAGTTTCTTCCATCCATAGTACTTGTATATGACGGGTAACTACAACTCATCGCACCTCGGGACCCTGTCATGGTAAACTGACTCGTCAGCTGATCGATCAAGACGAGAGCAGTCCATATGTGAACCCGACGCTCGTGGCCGGTAGCAACATATTGTTGTCGATGAACTGCACCGCGGTGAAGTTCCTGGCCTTGGCCTAGCTCATATTCATGTGGTAACCCGGCCACCTCAACCTGCCGCCGACCCCCGCGCTGGAGCCTGTGTTCATGTACTCCCTGTAGTAGAGCGTGCTGAGCGTGGTCTGGTTTTTGTCCCACGCGAGCCACCCCTCGGGTCGCACCAAGCCGCCGATGTAAGACTCCATCCCCATGAACACCACCCACGAGGATGCCTTCCATTGCCGGCTCAGGAAGGTCTGTGTCACAGCGGCTTTGACGGTCTGGTTAGCCTGCGCATGTAGGAGGTCGTCTTGCACGGAGATGTTGCAAAACTATAAGGAGAAGCCGTTGAAGCGTCCCTACGCCGTGATGGTGTTCTTCTGGCCCGGGAGCGAGGCGCGGGCCAGGAGGACGCAATCCTGGAAGACTGCTGTGGCGTCTCCGAAGACAAAGTTGACGGTGTCGGTGACGCGGCAGTCACGCTAGAACTGGTTATATGATTATAATGTACTCAACTACAAATAACTCTTGAATAAATACAATGTGGAAGTGTGTCGGGGAGGGGGGGCATATGCCCCCTGTCCATGTTGGTTTTTATTCTATAAATCGTTTTTTTGTCCATGTTGGTTTTTGTTCTATAAATGTAAGCCTAATTATATGATGATGCCGCTGCTGCTTGGTTGCGATGAGAAGGCTGACGACCTGGCGTGCTACACTACTACCTGGCTATCTGGCGTTGTTTACATTTTAACATGAGCTGCTACACTACTACTTGCAGCTGCTAGCTTGTTGGCACCTGAACCTTGTATTTGTGCTCCTGAACTTTGTATTTGTGCTGCTATTTTATGCACCCGAACCTTGCATTTGTGCTTCTG